TTAATTAAAAAAAAACAAGGGCGGGGCGGGGAGGGAACCCCCCCCCCCCCCACCTGCCCAATGGAGGCAGGAACTGTGGGGAGCAGGGAACTGTGGGCCTCAGCTCATCAATCACAGGATGGAGGTGATGTCTGGGAGAATCATCCCCAGCCCCACATCTCCTGCCACACTGTGTCCACTCCCAGAGGAAGACTGCGACAGAGACTGGGGAGGTCTTGAGTGGGTCCTCTGGTCGTTGGGGTGATCAGAATGCACTTCCTGGAGAAGAGACATCCCAGGCTTCTCCTCAGTAGAGACTGAGAGACACGAGGACGGGCCTGGTGGCTAAACAGGAACAGCAGCACCAGGTGGTTGTTCATGTGTGTATCTGCATGTGTAGCTGTCTGCATGTGAAGGTGTCACATATGCATGTCTGTATGTGACATGAACGAGTGAGAAGTGATATGCAGGGGCATGTGGGAATCTGTGCATGGCTCTAGGAATGCGTGGCCACGTGTGATTGTGTAGGTATGAGTGCTGTTGAAAGGAAGCTGCTGTTCCCTTGGTGTGTTCCTCACCTAGCCCCAGCCCCAGCCCCCAGCTTTTCCATCACAGACCCTTTAAGAAGACGTTTACGTGATGGGCAGCTGTTTCACTCTGAAAGAGGAAGGCCCAGGGAGAGACGAGGACCTGCCTGAGGTCACATAGAAAGCCAAAGCTGGGATTAAACCACAGGGTGGGGTTATCCACCTACATGACCACATGCCCACTTGGAAGGTCCTTTCTGGTGTCTAACCACACTCTTTTTGCTGCTGTGAGCACTTAGCCCAGCTGTCCCACCCTCAGGCATGGGTAAGGCGTGAGAACAGGCGGCTCAGGTTCCTGGAAGGAGGCAGCTTCTGTGATCTGACCCAGGCAAGGAATGTCCGTCTGTGGCTCCAGGGACACTGACACCTCCCTCCTGTGCCTCCCCCCCTGCCCCCTGCCTGACAGGTGGACAGGAAATGGAAGGGGGGCAGCTGAATAAGCCAGGGACAGTGGAGGAGAGTGCATGTCTGTGCTTGTAGAGTGGCCATGGAGACACACAGGGAACTGTGGGCTTCCATCCACAATGTGCACATGATCGTGAGTGACTCTGTGATTGGCGTGTACATGTCCAGTGTGTCCAGTATGTGTGAAGCTGTGGAGGGGCCTGGGTCAGAACCCCAGGGCCCAAAGCTGGCTTTGCAGCAGAAGAGATGAGGGGGAGAGAGGCATCAGGAGAGCGTCGGTGTAGCTGGTGGAGTGGGCAATGCTGTAGGCAGAGGTGGCTCCACTCCCCAGGTCTGCAGCGTAGAGCCAGGGCCCAGCTGGGACCCCTCAAGGGGCAACCTGTATTCTACCCACTGCTGTCAGCCTCTGGGAAGACTTCTTGGCCCTCTGTCCATCTTGTGTCTGTTCCATGTTCATCCTGTGCCTTTAGTGTCCCTTCCCTATTTGCCCACGGCTGTAGAGCTCTGCATGGGGGTGGGGTGGGGGGCGGCCAAGGACACAGGAAGTGCCTTCTGGGGGCCTGTGGGCCAAGGCCAGAGCTGGCAGCCACCCCAGGAGGAAAGGACATTCCGAGGTCGAGAAGCCTCCACTCCCCGCTCCTGCCACTACCCCCCCTTACCCCCAGCTTCAAAGGAGAAGGGCGCTGGGGGGAGGGGGGGATTGAAGCCTGCAGAGTCAGCTCCCTGCCACCTGGGACTCTTCAGAGGGCACAGCAGGCCATGGCACTGTGTTCACGGGCCCCCTCCCCTGGCCAGCCTCCCCACTGACCAGGCTCCTCTGTTCCCCTCTGAGTGTCCGCCCCGCTCAGACCAGCTTCCCCTTCAAACCTCCCCCTCAAACCAGTTCCTCTCTCTGACTGGGCAGGTCACAGAGGGCCAGGGGCTGAGGGGGGGCTTTGTCTGTCATCTGGCTACTCCTGCCTGGCCCTGGGCCCTGAGCAGGGAAGGGCTTGGGTTTCCTGACAGGGACCAGGTTTCTCAGAGGGAAAAGGAGGAAAGAAAAACAAAGAAAAGGAAGAAAAGGAGTGACTCGCTGCAGCTGGAGCCCAGCTGAGGGGCCGGGTGGGCGGAGGTGGGGGTGCTGGGAGAGACCAAGTGTGAGATTGTGGGACAGTGTGTGATTGGAAGGCCTGTTGTAAGTGTGTCATGAGTTGGGGGAAAAGCTGTTTTTAAGCCATTGTGATTATGAGGTTGTGTGTAACTCTGAGAGGCTTTGTGTGTGTGACTGTGAGACTCTGGGCAGTTGTGTAACTGTGTGATTGGATGCTGTGTGGGACTGACTGTGTTTGCGTGTTACTCAGGGTGAGGTTGTTGCATTTTGAGATCGTCTATATGTGTGAGGCTATGTAGCCAAGGTACCCTGAGAGTGCATGTAAATGTGCCATTGTGTCTGAAACACGGTGACAGCTAGACTACATACATGAGACTGTACATGTGATGGAGTTTAAGCCTCAGTGTATTTTTCAAACTGTGGGTGTAGGAAGGTGCCCAGAATTTCTAGTGTGTTCTCATGTATGAGCCAAACACCATGTGCAAGCATGAGGAGTGTGTGAACAAAAGCTCGTGTGCACACACATCACAGTAGCACAATCTGGGTGGGCAGGCGCGCTCCTAGATGCCCAGGCATACTGAGTTGCCCCTCGTGGGGGCTCCTGAGGTGTCCAAGTGACTGTGTTAGCTAGTGGCAGGGCATCCTTGGTTCCCATGCAGGGCCGTGTGTGCGTGTGCATGCGTGCATGTGCCCCCGCTGGCCCAGGGTTTGTTTGTTTTCCTCCTAATTGGCTTGTTTTTCCATGTCCAGCCCACCAAACCGCATGTTTTTCCTCTCATCTCGCCAGCCCGCCTGGGCTGGAGCCCCCGGCACGCACGAGGCCTGCCCGCCGGCCTAGAGAGGAGGAGGGCAGACTGCCCACACCCTGGGCCAGGCCAGATCGGGCTGGGCAGGGCGGGGTGACCCCTCCACTCCAGCCCCACCCATGCCCCTCCTCCCGCCTAGCATTCAAAGCCCAGGGCCTGTCTCAGCCTTATCTTGCGCCATCCCTCAAGGCAACCCAACTTCTGGACCCCCAAATGCTCCCCTCCTGACTCCCTGCTCATGATTTCTCCCCAGACATCTTCTTTGACCACAGCCATCTCCTCACTCTTTCTGGAGTCTCTGTCCTGACCAATCAAATAAAAATTTCTAAAAACTGGACAAGGAACTGTCCACTTAAAAATAATTTTAATCTCTGGTTTGTTTTAGGTTAAACTCAGAATGATACTGGATCAGCAGTGTTTAGTAAACAAAAGAATGCTACTGAAAGGAACACTGTGATCCTGTTTCCTAATGTGGGGGTCCTTTCATCATCCTAGGAAGGAGAGTCTTTAGAACTCTGTGAGTATCCACCTGAGGGCAGGAAGGAGGATCAGGAGAAGGCAGTTCAGGGACCAGCCTAGTTAAGGAGACTTCCAACAGAAGATGGTTAGGATCAGGTTCCCTTGGAAATAGAGACATAAAAATCTTACATGTTTAGAATAAATATTAAATAATTTTTAGTTTGAATGACCCACAAATCAGGGGTACCTTTATCCTGTTCTCTGAGAGCTGACAAGAAGGATAATCTTGAGTGTTGCCAAACAGTCTCTTGTTACTAATATATAAAGTGACTGAGCCGGTCATGATTAATATCTCCTGTTCCTCTGACCAGGTCTTTAGAAGGAAATAAGGCAATGAGAGATGAGTACCTTTTACTAATGCTATAGTCAATTCGTGGCCAGCTCTCCTCTGCCAGGGAAGGCCTGGGAAACAGTGAGCGCTATATACATAAGGTGTGGGCTCTGGTCACAACAGGACAGCCGTGGGCATGTCTTGTGAGTACAGACTACTTCAAGACCCAATCCCTTCCAATGACCTCTCAAAGAAGATCAACTCATCAGAAAGGGGGGGGCCAGGGTCATCAAGGCCCAGCTATCACTGTAAGTCTTATCCATCCTGAGGACTTTTGGAACCCAAACTGAGAAGACAGGGGTGTGGGTGGCCTCATCCTTTTTCCACAGCACTTAGTAAATAGCCTTTTTACCAGTATAAGGGTTGGGATAGGTGCTCCACCGATCAACCCAGCGGTGGGCCAAGTAGGTTAGGCTGGCCCTGCATTTCTCAAGCTGGCCAACAGGGGTCACTCCACCCCATGATTACAACTCAAATGTTCGATTTTGAATGCCAACTCTCCAGTTTTAATACTTTTCTCCTTTTTTTTTTTTGGCAGCTGGCGGGTATGGGGACCCGAACCTGTGACCTTGGTGTTATAAGGCTGCACACTAACCAACTGAGCCAACCGGCCGGTCTAAACGCTTTTCTCAAAGTCTTTTCCAAAGGGAAATTTACATCCCCACCAAAATGTATTTCCGCACTTCCTTCAGCCCCATTGCTGGGTCAGTGTTTTTCTGGAGGATCATGAGCAACCCTTCAGCCTAAAATTTCACATGGTTGTCCACAACAGTCTCCGGACAGTGGGGCAAGGGCATATTCCCAGATCTCTTAAGCATCTCCTCGGTAGCCTCTGGGGAATAAAGAAACCATTTTCAGGCAGTTAGGTTTTCAGAGTATTCACTCTGTTGGGTGCCTCTGGCTGAGAGCTGGGTGCCTGACCCCCTGACCTTCAGCCACATTGATGGCCTCATCATTCTGACTTCTCTAAACTCTGGTTCCAAATCACACTCACCTGGGCTTCCCTCTGCCTTCCCGCTGGCTCCTTCTTATCTCTTTTCGTGGTTCACTTCTCTCCTTCAACCCCTTTCACACTGATGGTCTGCAGGACTCAGTTCTGGGTCCTCTTCTCTCCTCACCCCACAATCTCTCCCTTGGCCATCTCACCCCCTCCAGGGCCTTAATGCTGAAAACTACCCGAATATCCATCTCCAACACTTGCCTCTCCCCGACCCCATACTCTCAGATCCACTGGCTACCAGCCATCAATTCCTGATTGTCTCCCAAGGATCGCAACCCAATATGTGTGTGGACGTCCGTGGAGCCGCAGATCCCTTGTCCATACAAATTCTCCCTGCCAAACAAAGCTGCAGTGATTTGCCTAAGAGCTTTGTTTGGCCACCAAGGCCTGCGTTGCTTGCTGGGGCATCAGGCCAAAGTGCTGGGGAATCGAAGCATCTCCACCCCAGGAGAATCCCTCAACCAATGATGGATAGGAGTGAGTGTATGAACATCCCAACTCCCTCACTCCTCAGGCAAGATAAAACTCTGAGGTGCAGGTTCTGCATGTGTACCCAGAGTTCTCAGTGGTGACTCCAGTAGCCAAGAGGTAATGTCTGGATAACCCACTATTTATTGGCCAACTTCCCTTTTTCCTATGTCACTTTTCCATTCCCTTATGGTGTTTCCATCACCTGCCAAATAAACTACTTGAATATGAATTTTCATCTTGGGATCTGATTCTAGGGAAACCCAAACTGAGACACTTTTCCTTCCATTTTTCTCCCTGTTGTAGTGATTGGTAGCTCCAACTGCCTTGACTCCTCCCACTCTCTGCTCTCCTGTCCTTCCTACATCTACTCCATCACCAACTCCTGGAGGTCCAACTGCCCCCTCTCAACTTCCTCAACTCCATGCTCTGGTCCCAAGTCCTCATCATCTTTCCTGCATCCAGCAATAGCCTCCTTCCTATCCTGGCTTTGCCCATCTAACCTGCCTCTCTTCACTGCAGTGAGAGGAATCTTTTAAGAACATGACCCAGGGCTGGCTGGTTAGCTCAGTTGGTTAGAACGCAGTGTTAAAAACCAAGGTCAAGGGCCGGCTCGGTGGCGCACTGGAGAGTGCGCCGCGTGGGAGTGCGGCGGCGCTCCCGCCAAGGGTTCGGATCCCATGTGGTGACCGGTTCCCGCTCACTGGCTGAGCGCGGCGCGGGCGCGACACCGAGGGTTGTGATCTCGTACAGGTCAGTAAAAAAAAAAGACAAAAAGGAAAAAAAAACAAAAAACAAAAAACCAAGGTCAAGGGGTTCAGATCTCCATACTGGTCAGCAGCCAGAAAAAAGAAAAGAAAGAAAAAAAAGAACATGACCCAGCTCATCTACTCCCCAGCTCTCTGGGATCATGATCTGACCCCTGACCCCTCATTTACTCCCTCCCCCCATTTATACCAACTCAAGTGGCCTTTTCATGCCCTCCCAGCCTCTGAGGCCTATAATTACTCAGCTCTCTACCAGAAATGATGTTTCAATGTATCTTCCAAATCCTCCAAATCTCCATGTGCTTCCTACTCCAGGAAGCCTTCCTCCTTCCCTGGGGCCTCCCAGAGTATGCATACCTATATGTGCATAATCACACATCCCATTTCCCTCCCTAATGCCCTCTGGCCAGCCCCTGTGGAAGCACACACAGTGAGGCCACTCCAGCTCAGAGATGTGACCTTAGGATCCCCCACCCAGGCGCCAGATAGGCCATGCCTTGCCAGCCTTCCTCTGCCCATTTATCATAGCAGACAGGGTTTCAGGATCTCAAAGACCTCCAGGGGGTGGGATACATGGGTGAAACGTCCGGGGTTCTGGCTTCAGTGGACAAGACTGGGCTCAGAGGTAAGATGAACAGGCTAGGATAGGATCAGAGGGCACGTGTCAGGCTGCACCCTCTCCTCTCCTTGCCCCCCAACAGAAACAGGACTTGATCTGGGCCTCGAGGAAGGTGGGAGGTCGGAAGAGAGATTGGGAGCAACACTCACAGCCCACGTGTAGCAGGACTTGGTGGCGCAGGTGCCAGGAGTCACGGTGGAAGCAGGCGTAGAGGCCACTATGGCCCAGTTCCAGGCCATGGAGCACGAGCTGAGAGCCGTTGAGCAGGTCAGGGGCCAGGTCCGTCCCATTCACCCGCCATGTCACAGCTGCATCCCAGTTTGCTGTTCCACATGGCAGTGTCACATCTGAGCCCAGGCGCTCGTACTGCACGTGGGGTGCCTCTGGGGGGTGGAGGCAGGGAGGGCACAGGGCAAAAGTCACAGGTCACGGCCCTGCCCAGCATTGCCGGGTGAATGTGCATGGGAGACAGTCCATGAGCAGGAGTCGTCTCGGTGACAGGCTCCGTGTCTGACCACGTGAGTGTCTTGGGGAGATGGGGAGTGTGCAAAACCTCTATGGATGTGCAAGTGTGCAGGTATGTGAGTGTCTCCAAATCTGTATGTGTGTGTGAGTGTACAGGGACTGTGTGCGTGAATGGACAATCTCTGTGTGTTTGTGTGTGTGTGAGTGAGAGAGAGTGTGTTTGTGTAGTAGTGGGAGGGGTCAGTTCTCAGTGAAAACCCAGTTTGCCTCCAGTCCTTGGGACATTTAAGAAGTTTTCCTGACCCCCATGACCCTAGCCTTTTGCCACCAACAGGGCCAGCTCCAATCACAGACATCCGTTAGCCAAGCAAGTTGGTGTTGACAGGCCCCACTCACTCTCAGACTCCTTTCTCTGTCTCTCCCTATCTATTTCTCTCCCCGCTGCCTCTCTCCCTCTCCCTGACTCCACCCTCCACCCCAGCCCAACAGCCATCCAGGTCTTGGGCAGCAGCAGGGAGAATGGGCAGGATGCGAACTCTAGGGAACTCCTGGCAGCTGTCAACTTCGTGAAGCAGGAGTTGCTTAGGGCCAGTTGTGGAGATGGTGTGTGTGTGCTGGGACTCAGTTGAATGCTCTGACCATTCCTCTCCTGCCCCCAGGAGGAGCCTGTCAGAGCCAAAAGCACAGCCCAGCCCTGCCCTTGGCAACCCAGGCGTGATAGACTGAGCCCAGGAGACTGGAGACGGAAGGATGGAGGCAGCACCTGTCTAACGGCAGTGCCTGGTGGGGGAGGCAAGCGGGACAGAGACCGTCAGAGAGGCAGATCTCCAGACAGCAGGAGAGAAGCAAGCACACAGAGCCAGGTCGGAGTCTCAGGACCGCCCCCATCCCCTTCTCATCCTGCCCCCTGAGCCTGGAAGGACAGATGCTCCCAGTTCAGCCAGATCTGTGAAGTGAGGGTGGGAGGGGAGAGAAGGGAGGGGGAGGGGGCTGCAGGATCCCTCGTTAACACTCCCTCACATCTCCCCTCCAGAGAGCCACCCCGCTGAGTTGGGGGATTTTCAGAGGCAATTCCTGTTAACGAGCCAATTAAGTTGGGCCAGTGGCCTCTTAATTAGACTTGTTAACACCACCAGGACTGTGGGGGGGGGGATCCCCCTCCAGCAGTGAGCCACCCCTTTTCCCCCATTGCAACCCCTTCCCCAGCATTGCTTTTCTCTGTGCTGGAACATCTGTCCCTGTTTGCGTCCTCTGTTGTCCTCCCTGTGCCAAGGTCTCTCGGTATCTCTAGGTCTCTCCCTCACTGATGGTCTCTGTCCTGCCCCTCTCTGAGCCTCTCTGTCCCTGTTGGAGGAGAGGGAAGCAGGAAACCCAGCCAGCCTTGACCACTCATCTGTGGGGCCTGGGACCAGCCGAAGAGAGGATGAACAGGCGGAAAGGCGGTGGCTGGGGGCCTTGGAGGCCACAGCTGTGAGGCTGGACCATAGACTGAATGGGGACCTCCCCCTGACCAGAGGCCCAGTGTCCAAGACTCAGGCCATCGAGCCCCCCTCCCAATCCAACAGCTCCAGCCACTGAGCCCCCCTCCAGCCTCCCTTCCAAAAACCTGGAGCTTCCAGGAAGCATGCCAAGCCCCTCTCTCTGCACCCTCCCCCCCACAGCAAAGACTTTGCATCCAGCTGCCTGAGGAGGAGGTTGAAAACTGACCGTTGGGGAGGGGGTGTGGCCATCATGGTCCCAGCGGCAACACATCAACACTGACCAACAGCAGCTCAGAATTGACAGGGACCCAGCACAGCCTTCAAAACTGGGGGCAGGTACAGCCACAGGTGAGGAACAGCAACCCAACAACACAACAAATGTAATGGACACGGGATAGCATTTCCCCACCACACCTTGTCCACCTCACAAAGGAAACAAAACACAACCTGACAACAATGACAAACCAAGGATGTAAGGGCAGGGCGGGAATGAAAAGATGATGACACATGACAGAAAACAACTACAGCCTATAATGCAGAGGTGCAGGGGCGACATGACATGACAATCACGCAGTGTCACAACCACCACAGTAACACAATGGCAATACACACGGCCATGCAACAGCCCCAAAGATGGCAATGATTTAATCCTTTGTCTCTGAACAGCTCTCCTCCCGCCCTGTGGGTGCCCCTACTGATGTGCTGTCCATTTCAGAAATTAAATCAAGCAGCAGGGGGAGGATGGGGATCTTGGCCCTGACGCGGTGACAAATGCTCCAAAGGAATCAGCTGTGAAAAGGTTGTTAGAAGCCAGGATGAGAGACAGAGACAGGATGAGGTCATGGACATGGAGAATACAGAGGGACAGAGCTGACGGCTCCCTCACACCTGCGCACACAGGCTCACATGGGGACCACATGCCAGAAACAGTCCCCCCCGGGCATCCTAAGCAACTTTACTTTGCCGAGGACAGTGACCCACAAAGAAGAAGAAGCACACACAGGACAGTCGTCTACAAGTTCACAGTCACTCATGGGTTCAGAGTCACACGAGGACACCATTCCGGTTCAGGGATGGTAACACCTGATACATGATCACAGGCATGCACAAGAAGGGCATCGTCACCCAGAGGCCCAGTTACATATGGGGACACAGTCTCACACACAGAGAAACAGTTTAACAGGGACACACACACAAAGAGAAACAGAGAGATACTATCGCACATGAGGTAGTCTCAGACACAAGGCTACATACAGCCCCACAAAGAGTACAGTCACACACAGCATAGCCCACAAGGATACAGCCACACAGAGAAACACACTCAAACAGAGACACAGTCTCACCCACACAAGAACAGTCTCACTCACAAGGACAGCCTCACACACTCAGAGATGTGGCCTTAAGCCCAGGGCCTTGCTCACGTGTGGCCCTACCTTTACACACAGTGGGATAGACCACCAGCAGACCCTAGGAAGGTCCAGTCAGCAGCCCTGGGGCCAGACAGACTCTCTCTGGGTCTTAGTGTTGGTCTCATGAGGAAAAGGCCACAGAAGCTCCACCTACTACCCTCCCTGAACCCACAACCTTGACAGTGGCAGAGCTAAGCCACTAGGGTCTGATCCATGCCTGGGCTCTGGAGATGTTACCACTCTCTCTGCCTCTACCCAACCCAGCTGAGGTGAAGAGGGGCAGGACCCATCCAAGGGGGGGTTAAGGGAGCCTCACTCTAGGTAAGTTTCCAGCTCAGACCTTGTACTGATGTGGCTGTTTGAGGTGCTGCCTCAAATGCAGGAGAGGGGCTGGTGGTCAAGTTAAGGGGACACCTGTTTCCCCAGCAGGGGCACAGTTCCCTGTCCTGTGTGCTATGGGAAGGACTCGGCCCTCACTGGACAAATATGTGGGGGAAGCGCGGGGAGGCTGCCAATGGCCCAGACCCTCAGCAACCCTTCCCTCCTCCAGCCATTCCAGGTGACTGGGCTGCCCCTTTCCTCAGTGCACCAGCCCTCTCCCACTGTAACCCTGCCTGTCCCCACCTTGTTCTCAGTCCACTGTCTCTTTCCCCATCTTCCCTCTGGAATAAGGCTGAAGATAAAAGGAAACAAGCAGTCTTGCTCACTGTCTATCAGTGCCTCCTACTGCACCCCTATAAAGCTGCAGAATATCACCTTTCACCCAGATACTATACAGGGGCCCTGCTCCTATCCCCCTGAACTCCCATCCCACCTGCCTGTCCCCTATACCCACCGCAGTGGAAAGAGGAATAGATCATTTCAAGCCAGAGACGCCATGAGCATGTGACCACCCGGTGTAACTGTGGAGAACTGTGCCTAAGAGATATCAATGGGTCATACTACATATCAGTATCACATGACAACATGTCCCTCTGGATGTTCATGTATGACAATGCTAGCGTATGCCAGTGTGACTCTTGGGTGGTGTCAGCATACAGCTGTGCCAGTAAGGGTTCATGCCCAGCTCTGGGAGGGGGTTGGCGGGCAGCTCCCCAAAGCACTTACCTTGTGGACTGTGTCTCTGGGTGTAGACAACGGCGGCGGCAGCAGCAAGCACAGCACAGCAGGCCCAGGGGACAGGAGCAGCCATCTGTTGGGAGAAACAGGAGTCGGGGAGGGGGCAGCATCAGCTCAGGCAGGAACCTCCTAGGGACCCCCCCCCCTTCACTGTTCTCAGCCAAGACTGGGAAATCCCAGCCCTAGGGCCAGGGCACCTTGACCCCGAATGCCCTTCTTAATGGGGCTCAGGATCCTCTTTCAAGCAATAGAAAGCAATATTATTGGCATCTGTAGGCAAAGGTTTGCTAAGACGGTAGAAGGCAATCTACAGTGGTTTGCTGTTCGATAAGACTGCTGGCTGCAGAATGTAGTCAACCACGGATGAGTTATAGAACATTGGGAATGCCAGGGCCATTTTTCTAAAAAAGAAGATAACTTTACTCGTGAGGTTGGTTAATTAGCTATAAACATCACAGACTGAAAGGGTGATGTTTTAATTTAACTGGAGGTCCATACTTCTCCAAATTGCCTTGAATGGAAGGCTCCCTACTATGCTCCTGGGGAGAAAGCTTGCATGCTCAGGAGTCCCTTGGATCTGTCCCCAGGTCCTCTGCTGTAAGCCTTGCACTGGGCTCTGAGACACAGAACAGCAGGGTACCAGGGCAGTGGTACGTGACCCAGGTCAGATGTGACTTTTGCTTTATTGTACACCAATGATCAATAGAAAATGAGGGATTTCATATGTAAGTCCTTGTCAGGAACCCCAGCCCATACTTCACTCCTGCCATGTGCCCCCAGGAGCCTGGGATCCCCAGCCCAGCAGATGTGGAGCGTTGTTTATACACATTCATGTGGGTACAAAAAGCACAGTCACAACATGCCCCCAGAAGCCAGGATGGATCCAGTGGCTGCCCACCCGGTGTCCTGCTTCCTGGGATGGGTCCAACTGCTCCCACCACCACCCCCCCACCCAAGTCATGCTCACACCTGAGGGCAGGGAAATAACTATTTTCTGCAGAACGGTCCCCAAATGTGATCATTTCCCCTTGCCCCCAGTCTGAGGAGTGAGAGGGACTGTCGACCACACAGAAGCAGAGATTCAGACAGAGACACTGAGAGACTCAATCAGGGACACTGTCAGGAATATAGCCAGCCACACAGTAAATTCACCAGCCAGAGTAACTGCCCAACAGAACCAGACAGAACACCAAAGAAACAGCTCCACACACGGTGGAAGACATACTAGAGAATGCTAGAAGACCATAAGACAAAGCCAGAGAAACAGGTACATATAACCAGACAACCAGCCAGAAGAATGGTCAGAGATTAGCTGACAAACAACCAAAGGACTTGCCAGAAACACTGTAAAAGACTCTGCCAGACCCAAGCAGACATACTGCCAGAGGAAGAGCAAGGAGCACAGGCAGAGAACCCATCAGCGACAGAGCCAGAGAACTAGAGACACTGTCAGAAACGGTGCCAGAGAAACTGTCTGACACACAAGCAGAGAAATACCAGAGAAACCGATAGACACAAACAGGCAAACACCCAGAAAAACAGCTAGAGATAGAGCCAGAGGCACAGCCAGATGCTCAGTCAGGAAGTATCTACACCACTAAAACTGCCAGAGACACTATCAGACAGAGTCAGACACACTGTCAGGGACACAGCCAGAGACACTGTTAGAAATACTTCCAGAGAAACAGCCAGAAAAACTGACAGACACACACTGCCAGATATACTCAGAAAAAGAGCCAGAGACACAGCTAGAGACAGTGCAGACACAGCCATACAAGAAGGGAGACAAATGTAGGGGATGACAGCCTGTAGCAGTTGGGGGTTGTTTGGAGAGTTGGACTTCCTTGGGCTCCTTTAAGAGAGGGCTCCTGCCTGCCCATTGCTATACTCGACCCTCCCCAGGAAAGTTCCCTCATCTGAACCTGCTTTTCCTTCCAGTCACAGCTACAGGGGCTCTGACTTCCTCTCCCTGGCATAGCTCATCTCTCTATGCCCCATGTGGCCCCGGCTACCCTTCCCACCACAGTGACCCCTGGGGCCTCAGCTACCACTTTGCCCTGCTCCTTGTGACCCCCAGCTACTCCCCCATCTCCAGCTACTCCTCAGACCTAGGAGGTTAAGACAATGGCCAAAGTCACACAGCCAGCAAGTGGTGGAACCAAGAAATGAATCCTGGACTGTTTGGAGTCAGAGCTGGAGCCGAAGAAAGAGAGAGATAGAGGCAGGGGGCAGATATGCAGGTTCCCCATCTCAGTCCTTGCCAATAGCCCTCAGGCCCTCCCCCACCATCTCTGCCATCTGTCCATGCCTTTCTCCTCACAGCCTGGAAGATTCTCTGCCTCAGTGCCAGGTCCACTGCCCACTACATGGGAGCAGGAACCAGGGCACCAGCAGGCAGATGAGCAGCAGAGTGGACTGAGGTTATAGGATGGGAGTGTTGAGGGGAGAAGAGGAACGGCATGACCCTCTGCTGCCAGCCTTCCTGGTCACAGTCAGGTGGGGGGGGTGTTAAGATGGCCAGGCACACACACAAACACACCCCCCCATGAGTGAGCGCACGCCCCGTGTCCATGCACACCCACACGCAAACGCTCAGCCCCCTCAGGGGGAGGGGTGGCTTCTTCATCAAAGTCGCCTCCATCAGCCCGATGAGTTACTGTAAGGGCCGGGCCCTGGGCCAACGGGGCTGCAGCCACAGGAGACGGGCGCTGCTGAGAGCGAACACTGCAGAGAGTGGGGGTGGGGCACAAAGCCAGACACTGCAGGGTTGGGGACACCCAGAAAAGGGAGAGACCCAGGGAGGGGAAATGGTGAAGCAGGGAGAGGCAGGGAAAGACGGAGCTAGGGAGAAAGGAAGAGTTGCAGGGAGAATGAGAAGGCACACAGGAGATGGGCAGAGACCTTAGGGCAGAGGAAGAGACAGATCCAGAGAATGGCAAAGCCCCCTGGCAGAGTCTCTGCACCCACCTAGAGCACCTCCATGAGCCCACCTGATGCCTCTAGCGTGAGGAAGGACAGTGGTCAGGGCAGCAGTGCTGACTGATGCAAGGCAAGAGCAGGGCCTTCCTAGGGGCCTGAGGGAGTCTCACTGGGGATTGAGGAGCCCAGCCCCCAAGGGACAAGGTGGACTAAAGCCTCAGCCCTACCCTGCCCTGGCAGATGTAGAATGCCCCAGGCTAGTTTCACTTCCCCCTTTCCTCAGTGTCCCAGCTGGGCCCACTCTCCTGTGTGGGGAGGCTGAGGCCAGAGGCATCCAGGACATACCCTTCCCTAACTCACCTCAGACCACCCATCCCAGGGCAAAGAGCATCTTTCCCAGGAATTTTCCAAGTCCACACCCCATGGCTCTGTGATAGATCTGGAGGATAAATCCACAGAGCCCCACATAAGGGCAATGCAAACTGGCCCAGGCTGCCTGCAGGCCCCTCGAAGAGGTCAGTCCCAGAATGAGGAGGAAACAGGGTGCAGCCCACTAGCAAGAGAGGAGTGCAGTGCCCAGCAGCCCCTAAACCCCTCGTCAGCACAAGGGTCCCAGCACCTCTCCCCACACAGAACCCCGGTATCATCATTACATGCACACACAGGTGATACATGAAGAGACAAATTCTGAGGCCCCAAGTCACTGCCTCTGTCCCACTGTGACACAAAGGTATCATTACACAGTTGTAACACGCAATCGAAATGACACAGTTGCACCACTGACAATTACACACAGGAACGTTGACAGTTACCACAATTACAATGATGCAGTGAGTGAGTCACATACAATGACACCAACAAACACACCTGTTGACACTGACATGGTCACAGTGACAGTAACCTCAGAATCCAAGATGCAATGAGACTGACAGTCACATAGAGTAACCGATAGTGACATCAACGCAGGGACACAGGGATGGTGACAGACTCAGTAATAATCGCACAGATTGACAGCAGTCCACAGTAGTAATGGCACCCATGGAGGCTGACAGTCACCATCAGTAACACGGATACAGTGACAGGCTCCAGACCAGGGTCCTCAATTACCCAGTTTTAAAGTCTGGCTTAGGATCCAGGACCCAAGACCCCTCTTGCCAGTCCTAGCAATGTCCCAGTTGCACTGCATGCCCACCCTCATCCCCTGCCCAGCTGAGGGCAGAACCTGGGGGTGGGAGGTGTGAGTTTTAGAAAGCTTCTATTTATCCCTTCAGAATCATAGGCAGCAGTTTAGGTTACACAAGGCCAACCCTGGGGAATCCCTGCCACGGCCAGGTTGGGGGTGGGGGGTATGAGCACCATTGACTGGGTCTCAGCTCTAATTGTGAGTATGGGTCTGTAATAGTGTGTTCTGAGATTTGGGGAGTAGGCTGGTGTGGGTGGGCTGAGGGTTGGGTAGGCTCAATCTGGTCTGGACAATGAATGAGCAGGGAGGCCTCATGTAGTGACCTAAAAGAAAGATTACTGTTCCATCTCCAAGGTGGAGAACTGAGATCCAAAGGTCATTGGCCCAAACTCCCCGCATTGCAGAGGATCAGGGTGGAGTAAGGAATATTCATCTGATGAAGGGTATCTTGCCCAGTACAGGGCTGAGATGACTCTCCACAGATTTCAGTACCTCCTTGGCAATCCCAGACTCCAGAATCCTGCAATGTGAGGGGAAAAGGCACCCTTTGTCCTGGAGACTAGTCACCTTGCCTTCTCCCCACAACAGCCCTAGAGGGCCATCTCTGGGAATGAGGCAAGAACACAAGACACAGCATGGACTAACCGATTCAAACACCTGGGGAACTCTCGAGGCCCAGAGCTGCACAGGAATTAGGATGGAGAAAGGAAGAGAGACACATGTACTTGGAGATGGAGAAAGGAAAGAGACAGAGCAGGGGCTGAGATGAAGGACATGGTGGGCAGGGAGGAACAGCACTGGCCGAGGGGAAATCTGGGAGAGACAGTCGGGGCGGGAGGGAAGCTCCAGGAGGGGGAGGAGGGGCTGAGGCCGGGAGGCCCCCAGATCCCACCAGGCCTAGGCAGCCTGGACAGCGTGGGCGGTGGGGGCGGGGGCAGAGGCCTGAGCGGTACAGAGGCTGGGGGGGTAGG